CCCCTCTCTCTCCCTCTCCCTCTCTCTCTCTCTCTCTCTCTCTCTCTTTCCCACTTCTTCTCTCTCTCTTTCTCTCTCTCTCTCTCTCTCTCTCTCTCTCTCTCTCTCTCCCGCTCTGGAAAATTTCGTAACCAATTTCCAAAAAGATACCGATTCCCAAAAAGATCGGTAACGAAAAACTATACAGTTTATAACACTCCCCGGGAAATTCTACCCCTACTTTATATATAATTTTTTGCGATTCGGTCAATTAATTCCCGAAAAATTTGAAAAATTTCTGATACCGGCTTCCAAAAAAATCGGTAACGAAAAATTATACACTTTATAGCATTCCCCGGAAAATTCTACCCCCATTTCATATACAACTCTTTGAGATTCGGTCAATTAATTCCCGAAAATTAAAAAAAATTAGAAAAACCGGTTTCCAGAAAATCGATAACAAAAAACTATACACATTATGACACTCCCCGGGAAATTCTACTCCTGTTTCATATATATTTCTTTGAAATTCGGTCAATTATTTCCCGAAAAAATGAAAAAATGTCGAATACCGGTTCCCAAAAAGATCGGTAACGAAAAATTATACATTCTATAACACTCCCCGGAAAATTCTACCCCTACTTCATATACAATACTTTCAAAACCAGTCGAAAACTATAGATTTGCATAGCGGACAAACATACATACATTCATTTTTATATATATAGAGATGAATGTACCTGTGCCGCCTCCATAATTCCCAGGAGATGAATCCCTGCAGAGCAGGATTACTCTCATCCACCAGAGTACCACCTCGCGTGCGACAGAACGCCATAGCGTCCCTGAATGTCATCGGATTGCGATTGTAAAATATGTAGCACTTGCCGTTATAAGTTGCCGTTGACCCCGGTGGTTGGTCCCGAAATTGAGGACACCTCTCGATCGGCAAGGCCTGTATTCATATTGTACACAATCAATCACCATGATGGAAGATGAAGAAACGGATTTATTTCCGTTCTGGCGTAAGACCTAGTTGTTGCACAGCTGTTGGATCTACCTGATCGGTATAGACGAACGCCTCGCACAAGGACAACTCCGCCGGGACATTGTCGGACCCCGGGATCTCCAGATGCACGGAGACAAAAGCTCCGGGCATCGGCGGGTTGCAAGGCAAAAAGAGGGGTTGCCCTTCCTCCAGAGATCCGGTGAACTCGTTGCAAATGGGATTCGTTCCTAAGTCTGGTCGATTGTTACCAACTCGGACGACGATGGTGCCGGGGATCTCGCCTGGAAGCCATGCAAATTAAATGATTTTTTTGTTAAAACTCACAGGCAACTTTATTAAATGTAATATTTTTATTTCGAGTCTGTCTTACATATTACCGAAAAATATCATCGCAAATATCTCATTGCAAGATACGTCGACCCAAAGTTTTTTGCGTGCCGGGATAACGTAGTTTCACTAAAGGAAAACTCAGAAGATTATGGGCTTGAGCGATGACTGTAATTATCGAGTCCCCCTAAGAAACGCTCGTCTGCGCTCATGCATGTAATTAATGGCATACATTTATGATACGAGATGTTAGTTTAATCTGTGTCAATGTTATCGTAGCTTTGAGACAGTTAATTAAGTATCAATTAAAAAATTCCTTTTTAGATGAGACTTTCGAACGATATAAGAACAGTTCGTTGAACTTTCTGGTTCAAATATTTATACGGCATTAATAATTGAGAATTCAAATCCTGTTGAAATCTTTTTAAAAACGTAACAAATATTTTGCATTATTGATGTAATAGAAACACTTTTCTATTTCATTATCACGTACTCTTCAATTCTGCTGAGACATAAATTAGATACATAATCCAGTTTCAGACAAGTAATAATCATCGCGATAGGTTCGGAATCGGAACACAGTAGCGAAGTCGCGATTAATCAAACCTGCTTTTAATTTTCAATTAAACTTCTTTTTTTTTTACGTGTCCCAGTGAAAATCTATCTAACAAGATTACACAAAATCTTGGCCAATACTTTATTACAGTGTTAAATATTAAAGGAAATTTAAACCAATACCTTGAGTTAAATAACATTTTGTTATTTTAACTACCATGTGTGTCAAAATTTATTATTTTAACACAAAACGGTATTATTTTAATTCCATTGATTTAATTGAATTAACATTATTTTAGTTAAATTAACGACATATTAAGTAGGAGTGGCAACCTAGGAATGGTTAAAAATGACTCAAATTGAGTATAATTTGGCGCTACGAATTTAACAGTGCAAGACATATCTAAACCGATCGCAGCTACACTACGGATTTTTACACGGATTTAACGTATACATAAATCGAAAACATAGCTGGACATTTTCATTTGCGTTTAGTTTAAAGGGTAGAACGCGCGCCGATCACAAGCATCTGAACGGGTAAAATAATCATCTCGAGTGCTACATCTTCTGACCCAGATGGTATCCCGACTGTGACCGGCTATGGACAACCGCCCGCGTACGCTTCTCCGTAGAATTGTAAACCGTTGCAATTACATGCTTTCCACGTTCTGTCCCTGCAATGATGATCGTGGATTCGAACTCGCGCGACAGTCTACGATCTGGTAAAAGGATCGCGTTACAAGAGATACGTACACGCGGCACGTACGTACTTACGGTCGCGAGACTTTCGTCCTGTTGCACGTGTGCAAGCCGCTATTCTCGCCTGTAACGAGTGCGTAGACATGTAGCGCATGAGCGAGGAGCAACACGAGGTAAAGGAGAAACTCTGGTATCGGGAAAGGATCGGGGAGACACGCTCGTGCCTACCGCTAAGTGTCGTGCGTAAAAAGACTGCTGTCTGCCACTAATCATGCTTATTGTCAATAATTACAGTCATTAAAGATTAAACACACTCTATCTAACGTTGTTCATTACGTTTGTGTCAAATCGCGTTTCAACGAGTTCAACGCTGATTTTTTTTCTAAAATTTGACGGAATAATAATAATTAAGTAGAAAACTGTTTGACATTTGATATCAAGAAATTCAGAATTAAGTTTTAGTGCAATAAGGCTGTGCAAACTGCTTTGTTTATACATTGCGGAGAAAGCGTCCAAAACCCCTTTCTTCTTCGCAGAAAGATCATTATTTATGCTCCCTAATCTTCAATGAAAAAATTTATCACAAATTAACAAATGCGCCTGTAGTTAAATCTTGTGCTATTTATTGTCGGTTCTTCGGTCCATTATTATACGTCGCAATAATTAACAACGATGAAGAGGTGGTATATGAGCGTTAATAATGCAGTTTATTGACGAAATTGAACGAATCGATTCTTCCCCGCCGCTGAGGCGTAACGTGAAAGCTGCTCTTTCACGCAGAGAGGCCGAAGTAATTGTAATGCGCCGTCTGTTCAATTATGAGCTGGCGGTCGCGCGGGCTGGAGCCGGGTACGAGAATTATCGTCAGGTATCTCTTCGGTGCTGGGCCGTAACTAAACAGCTGCTTAAAACAGGCTGCATTATGCCGGCCATTGTTTCATCTCCACTTCGCACAACGATTCGACTCTATCCGCGAGCGTAAAAGCCGATTGTCAATTATCGCATTTGAATAATTCATCTTTCTCCGGCGCGGGCGTGCGGTTTACCTTTACCCGGCGAATTTTGCACGAAGTGCAACGCGCGGCGACACGGAAGTCGTTAACAATTCACTCCGCGAGATTGAGCGTCCGTTTCGCTCGCATGATTTCGAATTCACTTTTATCGCTTTCCGATACGTAATTAGGCGATCTCGCTAATCCGCCGGTAATGGATGGTTTGCTCGCGAAAAGATGGAAATACTTTTACTCGAGGAAGGAGCGTGCCGAGAGCGCCTTTTCCCTGGATAACGAAACGCTCTCGCTTTTTGCTCCCGTTTTACGCGTGTCCAAGCACCGACACTGCCATTATTATCACTTGTTTAACGGTGAAAGTTTCTCCTGTTTCGAGCGGATGGACTTTCGAACGCGAATTTTCCATCGCCGCGCGGAGTTTCCATTAGCGAAGAAGCGCTTAATAGAATCTGGATTCCGGAAACGCCTAACTTTATTGCTCGACAAAACTTTCCATGTGTTAACCAGATGCGACCGGATGCCGCGCGATCAGACCAGAATGAAAATTGCTTTCTTCCCGTGTTAGAGATTAAATAATTAATGATAAATTACATGCATTATATCACATATTCGTATATGTTGAGTCCTTAAAGGAAAAAAAAATGGCAAAGCGATGTATTTTAGTTCCGGTATTAAATATACGCAACCTAATTGGGAGCTGATTGATGATCGCGCGCGCGAGCTCGTGTTTCTCGTGCGCCGCTGAAAAATGCATGCGGCGTACCGCGGCAGACGTATTGCGATGGTTTTCTAACAATTGAAAGTGGAAAGACTCTCACTTTCATCGTAAAAGAGTTTCTAAACGATCTCGTATGCAAGCAGGGCCTTCGATCGGCTCGGAGAAAAGAGGAGGAAATGCGAATTTTACGGTGGGATTTTACGGATCGTTTGTACAATATAAAATGGATTTTCTGCGGCTCCGCGTGAACGCGAAACTCTCGATCCATTTGTTTCGCGTCGAAAGTATCATTGGCTACCCCTCCGGCGATCGATTGTTCACAATCGTGATTTCAGATCGACGAATGCTCGGTGAAGCGTCCGATCTCTTTCAGGATGGATCGAGATTCATCGCGGCCGGAGAACGTAAACAGCCTAATACAGTTTCAGAATTTTAACGTAACGATTGTAAAATCATATCTCGTTTTTGTCTGTGTGTATCATCTCTTTCGCGTTAATAGTATGCAAAACATATAGCAATAGAAAACAAAATAATAAGCTATAAGAATAAATATTTTTAATAAAATGCAATAAGTTTAACATTAGGTAGTTAAAATTTGTCAATTTGATTATGGAAAATTTTCCGATATTAGAATTCGAATACGTGGCAGTCCAGCATAATGTGCCAAAGAACTAATTATACATCTTTTTAACCAAAAGATAAATTTTAGAAAGGAGAAAAGCAACTGCCGACAGCGTTATTTGTATAATTAATATGATTTTTAGATAGAGATTTCTGAAGAACAAATTATTTAACATAACTCAATCTGAAATACCGATTTAAGCATAAGCGGGTAACGTTTGACGTTGAATTTGTTTCGCGACCGCGAATCCATCTCGCTGACGGGCATCGTTCCCGGTAATTATCTCGGTAATGCCTATTTATTGATAGAAAGTCGAGAAAACGCGCCATAGAAACGAAAGTGCCGGACGACGGACGGGATATTTACGGTATCACGGGGATTCTATCTCGACAACGTGAGCCTCGCATTAGAATTCATATCGAGAGACTTTATCGCCCACGCTTATCGGCAGCAACGCTCATTATAATACAGAACGGGGCGCTCCGCGCAAATTGCAACGCTCTTTACCGCTGCTTTTTTACCGATTTATTCCGTTGGGCCGACGCAACGTCATAACGAGCGTCGGATTCAATGCCCGCGAGATTGACGTCGCGAAGAAAATAGACGCCGCGATTTGACGCGCTCGTAAAGCCCCGGCACGAACGGCAAAGGTCCAATTACCGCCGCCATCGCGATCTTTCTTACGATCGTTTTGTCACTTTTTTCTTAGGCTTTACTTTAAGACTCTACGTCAGACCTTTTAACGCCGCGAATCGCCCCGCTGCGCTGGAAAGAAAACGGTCGACCGTTCGTCCGGAGCAATAATTTGAAACAGAGCGAATCGTCGCTCGAAGACCGCAGTGCAAATAACAATTTTCCGCGGCTCGCTCTCTTAATCATCGCTTTGACCACTACCACGTAATATTTCCGAATGTTAACACATCAGTCTTGTATTTAGCATTGGAGTTGTTACGTTATCATATTCAGAGAATATTCAAAGCATCTCAAGTTTTCCGTTTTTTTTTTGTATGAATTCTTCATCCAATCGTAGTTTGATCAGTTAATAGCTGAAATTTCGAATTTCGAACATACAATCGCCCAAAAGTCACGCTTCGACGTTTCAGTAGGTTTCTATCTCTACCTAACATTTTTATTTCCTTTTTTAAACACAATTTTAGATCGTCCAAAGTTACTTTTAATTTGCGAGATTGATATATCTTTATGGGATGCGCGACATGCTGGACGAGCTCGTTGAATGTTGAACGATGAGACGTAAGAAGTATCCGTCTGTGATTCGAAGGAGTTCATTTATTAAGCAAAACGGTAAATTCTCGCAAGCGGCGAAGCGCGAAGAAATATACGGTATTACTTACCGCAGCACGGCTTGCCGAAGTCCAGCCGCACCAGCTGCACCATGTACGGCTCCAACAGGTTCACGTACCACCACGGCTTGTGCTCGGGCCTCGTCAGGCTGCAGGTTTGCGACGTGTACCTCTGGCTGCTGCTTCCGTCGACCGCGCGTTGCGGAACTGCGCCTTCCGCGGTGCTGGACTGCATCGGCGCTTTGCCGCCCGCCACGTTCAGAACTGCGAAGGAGAATTCAATATACAAATTGATTGTCATGCTCGATAATCGGCTGCGAAATCGGAGGCCAATTTCCGCAGGTGCCGGAAGATAATTAGATCTGTGCAACGATACGTGCGGCGTAATTAAATCCAGTGAAGCTAATAGAGCATCTTGCATCCTTTGTGTCCCTAAGTATATAATAAAAACTGATCCTCCCTACTCTCCAATCGATTCCACAGCTACTCGTTACCTTCCTAATAGATACAAAGTGCTCGATTAAAGTCTCCGTTAACGAGCGCATTGTGACAGAAGACAGGCATGAGATTACATCGCGCTATAGCTAGAGATTACAACGCCGCGCCGTTCTAAAGTTGATTCATAAGTTAAGCGGGCGGCTACGTGATTATACTGATTATAAGACAAAGACGAGCGCGACAGATGATCGCGTCGGATTCATATATGCACGTGCACAACCGCGCTAACTCGTTCTTTCTTGTTTCTTTTTTTTTATGTTGAGCGCATACCACGGTGACGTGGCGATAATTCCCTGTGAGAAAATCGCTATACCTCATTGCCATATCCGTCCGATAAAAAGAAGGTCGACCGCCACCGCCGCATGGGTGAACAGCCGAACGGCACGCACAGATGGAGACCACGGTCATCCGTGGCCATATCGCCAAGTTTTGTGCAGCAAGTGCCGTACATTCGCGAACACGTTGGCGGCCTTGCGGTAGTTTTACTGTACCGTAACGTGAGAATTTTATCGGCGCCGATGCGATGCCGATGACGACGGCGGTGCGTGCCACTATAGCCCGCGATAAAAGCGTCGCCTCGGCCTTAATTGTGTCTAATCACAATCCAACTTAGCGATAGAATCGGTATCCTTTATTGTGCTGGGCTGACCAATCAGGCTGGTCTCCGTAATGTTCTTGCGTTTTGCAAGAGTATTACATAGCATAATGACATTTAGCTCATTTATACTCGTGAACGAGTTATAAACGAGCTAATCCGGTATCATTCTTTACTTGATAGTCACCGAGATCAATCAGGCGGGTCCCCGTAATGCTCTTGCATTTTGATTTTGCAAGATTATTACATAGTATAATGACATTTAGCTCATTTTGCGAACGAGTATAAATGAGCTAGCTAATCTGGTATCATTTTTACTCGATATAGTCACTTGCGATTAAGTCATGCTATTTTACGATCGAATTATGCCAATAATAATTATATCAATATATTTTATAGCCTCCTCTCACTCGTAAGAAAATAAAGTATTCCGCGCACAATATATAAAATAAATAAATAATAATCTAATCTAATTACCATTGCAAAATATTTCAATTGCTTGCGTTGAGAGTATACCTACATATTATCATGATCCGTAAACTGCTCGGTATAAACATTTCGTGGCGCCGTTTTGAGATATCGCGAGACGCGCGTTTCTCTGTACGCAATCTGTTACCACGGCCCCGAAGTAGCTCCTAGAATCCTTGCGTGGAACAATCGAGAGATGCACAGACAAGACGGTGAGCATATCGCAGAGAAGAGATACGCAAACAAAGGTCTGACTAAAAACCTGTGCGTATATGCATCAAGCGCATCTCCGAGATACTCCGATAAACACGTTGGGAAAGTGCGGTCAGGTTTATTCGTTAAGGCTAATCTTCGGGATTTAATTGTATTCTGCATTCTGTACAGAAGAAAGTACGGGATCCGTTGGAAAGCGTCAAGTTACGCAATCGATTCCAGATCAGGAATAATTGTTGGCATTAGTGTTAGGTCAGTATTAAAATCCAATGAAATCAATCCTTCAGCCACGTGAAAATGCTAGAAATCGTGGACAATCTACGGAGATGGACTGCGATTACATACTGTTCAAATTTATTACTTTCGTGATTGGCAAAAAATGAATGATGTTACGAATTAATTATTTTAAAAGCTGACTTACCCTTTTAACGTAAAATTTTCAATTAAAAGTAAGACGTATACATATGCTATATAGTTATGCGGCTAAATTATAATCTTTATCGAGACGCGGCGCGTGCGTTCGCGTCAGTCGTGTCTGCCGTACGTAATTATCCTAACGAAGCAATCGAGATTCTATTGGGTAGGCGTCAGTTCACCATATAAAACGATAATCGATGCATTCTCGACCTAAACCTACATACTGGCTAGCGCCCCCATGAAAGTCCACGTATGCCGCGCACGTTCCCACAAGATGTATAGGTATATACGTATGCACGCCATACCTCACATAATTTACAGTTATTTCTTATACACGCAACGCAAAAGGTTTTTGCCATGTTATATCGTTTCCGTCGATATCGCGTAACGAGGTACAGAAAGCAATCCGATTGTACGTCCTTCCGATCTAATAACTGTGATTATGTGCATTTTTATTCTAAGATTAAATCGCTTTTACGATTCTTATAACAAGACTAAATTATTCCAATATAAAATATTTATAATGTTTATAAATAAATAATTGCTTCAATAGAATATTTATAAAGTAACGTTTTAATCGAAAACTTTGTAGCGTGTTAAAAAGAAAATAATTAAAATTAAATCATTAAAAAATTAAAATATTATAAAGCGAGATATCAGATAAGAGATTAGTAATATAAAAAAAATGTTTATTTAATCTCAAAAACATTTTGTTGAAAGGAATAAAGCTTTATTCCTTTCAACAAAATATTTTTGAGATTAAATAAACATTTTTTTTTTAATATTACTAATCTTTTATCTGATATCTCGCTGTTAACTGATAGTTGCGTTATACAGATTTTATTGCACGAAATTACGCTATTTTATCTTTCTCTATACATAATATTGTAAAATATAAAAAATTATATTGAATATCATGTCCATGAAATCAATATATCTATTGCTTACATCATCCCTGGACTATTCCATTATTTTTCAATTGCAACGCTTCGATCATGTACAATTTCTCTAGTTTGATCGTTTGATCATTAAGGCAAGGTAATACTGCGCATACTAATCGCTCATGTATCCTTGTACGCCATATCGCCGTCATGATGAGAATACCGATGATGCGAAGAGATTCACGACGCAACAAAAGACAACGTTTGCCCCCCGTAAAACTGTTAAGTTCATCGAACCGTTTTTATTATAACGAGCGATAATAACAAGCGATATACCAACTTGTACCAGTTGAACTAATATTCGTGACGCGATCAGGAAGTTCTTTATTGAGTACTGAAAAAGAAAGTGCGATCTTACTTTCGAAAAATGCGAAGTATCTATACGTTCTTAAGATTGAAAAACAGGAAACATTTCATAGGCAAACGTCGATTTTATGTCTGTCTTAAAGTTTTACTGTGCCATTTGCCGGACGGTGAACACAGTCCTTCGTTTTTTACTATAGCGTATACCTCTTTAGCTTGAAACGTTTTCAAATATAATGCGCGTTAAACTCTATAGAACTCTTCATGAAGATGTTATTTCAATAAAATAATTAATTTTTCAGAACATTTTTGGGACAGAAATGATAGATAAAATGCTTAAAAGAATTCAAGACTTGAAAAGGGAGTTAGAGAAGTAAAACAGACTATTTCATGTAACCAGAATTAAACGTTGCCTCACTGAAATCGAAAAATAAACTTCTCAAATTCTAGAGAATGCTACAAAATACTACAAATATATTGAATAACATTAATGTATTAATATTAATATTTGTAGACCTTATAAACATCTTTTTTTTTGAATCTGGCAAATTTCCGAGTCCATGTCTGAAATTTAAAAGCCTTGATACTCAAAGCCTTTCGCATATCTCCCCCCTCATAATGTCATCAAGTCCGGAAGTCCGCAATCGCAAATGAATTCTTTACAAAAATAACGCGCACTTATGGTGGAAGGCGAACGGAAAGGTATACGTTCGAAAAGTCAAGTTCACGCACAGTTGCGCAAGTGGCAACCTGCTCTCGCGGTCGGCGGATCACGAGAAACTATTGCGACCGTCTTGGGTGGGCGGTCGAACAATTTTGTGCAAACACCGCTTGCGCGCACGCCTGACCCGCGATCGTCAAAATAATCACGAAGAAACGCCCGCGAATGTACGACGGTATTATTGCCCCGCGCAAGAAATACCATTACAACGTCATCAATCTGCACGGTATTTCCTTTTGCCTCGATAAATAGGTACGAAGATTACCGTAGGAATGCCAGAGTCTGCTCTACTGAACTACCGAACTCCACCTATCATTTAACATAGATATCTAACGGAAATTCTTGGATAATCTAACGTTCCACGTTCTCAAATTTATGGATAAACACGAAAACTATTTGTATGGGAATTGTTATAAATAAACTTTATCAATACAACATTTTAATAAAGTCACTTTTTGTCTAAAAAGGAAGATTTATATTAAGATGCGTACCTATACAAAATAAATATAACAAAATACATTGCGCGATATTCTTTTCCTCAGATTTTTGTCTGTTAATCAAGATATCCAAGGATATCTGTAACATATAAATTTTCGAGAGAATTATTGATTCTAGACACAAAAAAAAATGTATGTAACCGGTTAGAAGATGGCATCATTTAATTCGTATTAATTTTGCTATTTTTCTAAATGTTTAATCAGAAAACAAGACAGATGAAATTTTGATATAAACATGAAGTTAAAAAAGGAGAGAAATGTGTAATAGACAGATCAATGTCATAAACATATTTAAGTGTAAACATTTGCTGAGGGTAATTGGCAACATTATCGTTCAAGAATATAGAGTTGAACTAGAAATATTCAGGTTAAAAAGTCGTTAACGATTTTTATATGACCGTGACATTCGAAAATAATTTCAGGGGTAATGTTCCGCCTTTCCGATCAAGACAATTTCACTCATACCTGTCCCTTTTTTTTTCTAATCGATCGAGAATCGTGACCTAATAATCCTATTCCGATAATCTTGTTCCAGTAAGATCTGTCGTTTAGATATGTCTATAGGATGTCGCGTATTGACAAAAACTACGTTTGCATCGTCATCGTCGATGGCTGCAATAATCTCGATCGGCTGTTTTATCAGGTCGCCTATATCTAGCAATGCTTTTCTAGGCATGATTTATCTTTAACGACAATGTACATGTATCGATGTGTATAATTGAGAAAGGAAGACCTGTACAACCACCTCTCATACACGGTCGATTAAAATGTTGATTGTCGTTAGAGATTAATTACCAGAGATTAATTTGTATTAATTATCGTACTAGCGCATACTCTCTTTACGTGTTCTTCATTTACAAAGTAGAACGTCGATTTGATGTATGAGTTTCATTAGTTCAGTATGTTACAGAATCAATTATCGATATTCTGTACAGCACACGAAGTCATTATTGATGAATGAAAGTGTCAAAGCATCGTCAATGTTCTGATGAGATCTACTTGTGACCCGAGAAAACTACATATGAGATATTTGTAAAATAAATGAAAGAATAAGTGGTCCTGTTATTAATTATTAATCGTAATTTATATTGGTGCTCGTTATTAGGAGAGATTCGGCACCTGACAAACGCATTTCTTTTCTCATTCTTTCTCTTTCTGCGTTCTGCTTGGTTCACACGACGAAGAGACAGTCCTTGCAATCATCGGGGCGTGTCGACATCGTGTCCACGCGACCCACTTCCGCCCACAACACGGCGCCACTTCTCGTAAACCTGGACCAGTTCGGCCTGTCGTTGAATTCGCGGAGCGTGGCCGTGAGAGATCTCATCAGGAGCAGCGATTCTCTCCGAGAGTCATGCTCTTTCTCTTCGATAAATTTCGCGCGAGAACACGTGCAAGAATTGTAAAAGGCAGGACGACTTTATGCATTTCCGGAAGTGAGCGCACTTCATTCAGTCATTCAGGTAATTGCACAACTATCTAACGAAACAAAAAATAGGTCAGTTCGCGGTTTACTTTACTTTTTCTCTGCGATTCTAGATCTAGTTCTTTTGGAGGTGAAAGGACAGTTAAATTAAGGTTGAAGTTGAATCAACGTGCTGCGGGAGAATTAAAATTCAAAAGTTTTTCTTAGAAAACAGAGCGCAGATAATATTTCGTATAATAATTTATAGCATAGTAATAAACATAAAAATCTCTATTTCTTTTTCAGAACATTTTTTATTTAAATTTTTTTCGTTAATAGATTTATAATATTAAGTATTTGTAAGAATAGCTATTTATTTTGCATCATGCAACTGTTTTACAATCAATAGCCACTTGTTTTCAAATATCTTCATGAGAGTTTTCAAAATGTTTCCAATTTTAAAAGTGATTAAAACTTGTACTTGAATCTTGAATGAATATCTATGTGTGATTCATTGCTTTCAAAAAACATGTTCTTGCATGCTATATTAATTCTTTTCTCTTGTACAAAATGAAGACAATCGATACATTTGAAAAGAATTCCAGACAAAAAATATAAATGTTATCTACTTTTAGAAAGTACAGAAATATTCGTAATAATAGTTTTTTTGCTTTGATAGATATTACTTTACGATCTGTTAAATCTCAATACTCGATACGATAAGCATTTGGTTCGCTCTATGATTGGCGCATTCAGTTGAGAAGAAATAGAAGGAGAGAATCGGTCACCTCATTCCTGAGATGCTCGAACGTAAGGATAGAAAACGCATTCCGCGCGATAAGTAATTGCCTATAGCACATACGCGGAATATACGAAGCGCCCATTATCGGTCAGATATCTCTCGCTAAGAAGCGCAGGTATTAGTATACGCACGTGTATACGAAAGCACGTGAAATACTTCATAAACAACTTGCTAATGAGCGTAATAGCCGTCTTGGGCTCGATGGATTTCATAGATATCGTTAGAAAAAAAAATAAACATTCCATCCCGCGTAAAACCAAGTATTTCCTTTAACTTATTCGTCCAAAAATAAAATAACGATAAGTTTACGATCGGGATAAGCGATAGGCGATGTGGTAATGGAAGCGGCGTAACGAAAACATCGGGAGAAAGACACGGAGGTGGCTTCCGGGGCCATACGGAGAACGGGGTGAATTCGTTCGACCCGGTCCAAGGACAGCGAAGAGAGTCTGACAGGTCTCTGTCTGAGGAATGCGCGCGAGGTTGGGAAGGCCGCGGGCGCTCTTATAGGCAGTAACAGGTTCAGAGTTAACGGTGCACTGCCCCCACCGGGGGCACCTCTCGTGCCAGTCGTCGTCGTCGTCGTCGGACCTGCTCGGTCAAGGACACGTGGAACCGGGTCACTTGCCTCCCCGAAACAGCGTGGACGCACAAATACAAGCCGAGTGTCATCGGCCGTCCGCGTCGAATGTAATTTATAGAAAGGCGCGACTATTCCGTACGAAGATGTCCAATCCTATGCGAATATGTCCCAGACTTAAGTCATACTTTCCTTACGGATTCTCTGTCCAGCTTGGACTCGATTTCTCCTTCACGAAAACACTGAGGAACTAATAGAGGGATTGTAGTTTCCGAACTACTTATAGACGATTAAAAATGAACATCTATTTGGAGAAACCGAATTTCTTTCCTACTTATTTTCTGAATTCAATTTCTTTTACTTGAACAATGTGTTTAAATAAATTTTTAAGTCAAAAATTACTAAAAACTAAACATTTCCAAAAATATTCATTCAAAATTAGAATCTAGAAAGAGAGATGTCTGAGACATTTTGCATCGAGCTGACTAATGATATTTGCCGCGAGTCTTCAATTACGCTGTCGCATTATCATATTAAATCACATACATTATATTTGTAATTTATGAAACATACTCATCATTCCTATAGGACTTATTTTTTGCGGATATAAACGTTTCGATAAGACATATTACGCTTAACGATAAAATATCATACGTCATGATTGTATAATACTGTCGGCCAAAGGAAGTAAATTTGTATTTGAGATAATTACGAGTGAAAATATGGAAGATACTTACCGCAGAAGGGCACGCCTTCCGGTTCCCACGTGCCGCCGGGTTGACATTCCCTTCTCGCTGGTCCCAGAAGCTCGAATCCTCGCTCGCAGGAATACGTAGCTATGGTGCCCTCAGGAAACGCGGTATCCTTAATGAGGGCGTCCTCCTCGTCTACGATGTCGTCGATACCTCCGCCGGTGAAGCGCACGCTGCTATGTGCCGGTGCACCCGGGTAACCGCATCCGGCGCCGTTGGACCCTGCAACGCGATGCGTTTCTTATTATTTTAATGCGATTATCACCAGGTCCAGGTATTCCGCGAATAACGGCGCGCCTGCAGATAAAAAGATTTATTCATATTCATAGAAACATTTATTCACGTACTGATGTAAGTTTCGTAAAAAGATGCAACATAGATCTTAGAATCATAATGACATTAAAAATAGATAACGGCATTAGAAAAAGAGATAATAATAGAAAAAAAGAATTGTGTCACAGAGTCTACTCTACGTCTCTCCTCTGTATTTAAACTTAAGATATAACTTTCTTTCGTGAATTAAAATATAATGGATTCGAGGAAACTTTTTTCTCCTGCTAGCTGCATATACACGCACGTGAAAAATGTGTCTTACACATAATTAGACGTGTATCTAATTATATACAACTTTTTACTATATATAAATATTTAAATGCAATGAAATTGTCGTATTTTAATTAAATCTGATCATACTGTAATATTAATCGATTTTACGTTGTTATTCAAGTGCAGAGACCTAGTTTCTATAATGTACCGGGAGGTTTCACTTTTGTCCTCGTATGGCGACGATAGTTATCCAGAACGACGCGACGTGCTAATTAATGCAGTCGTTCTTGTTTTCCTTTCTACAACGCCAGCCCGTCGCGTGTTATCGATTCGCAATCACCGTTCTACGGAAGTTACGATGCACATAAATTAAGCAGTCGGATTTTACCGGATATATTTTCTGAAGAATGCAAAAGACGCGAGAAGATGCTGTTTCAATCACATATTTCTGTAATTGCACGTTTCTTCCTTTCGTAACAACCGCGGTGCACGGAAACGTTTTTCCTCGATGATCACGCCTAATCGCGCGCGCGTCTATTTCACGGCGCGAAATTGCGCCTCGAATGCCTCGGCGGCGCGCGCGAATTCTCGCGCCGAGAGCTGTTAGCTCCTCGCGCACAAAGGATATCCACTCTCGGCTATCTGGGCGATTCAATCTCTCATGACTAATTGCACGAGTAATGCAACGCGTTTTCTGGCCGGCCATCGGCGAGCGCATCGCGAGTGAGCCCCGCGCTTTTCAATCTCTTCGCCATATCGAAGACACGCAACCCCACATCATCACGCACCCGAGCCCATCAGCGGTGCCCGGCGCGATGCAAGGCGGGACGTTGCCTCATCGGGGATTGCCGCTGCCGTTTTCAAGCCGATGATTTCAATGGGCGGCGGAGTCTCGTCACCTTCCTGAGCAAAATGCTCGAATCACCGAGCGCCGACGATAGCCAACGTTTTATGCGTTACTCTCGCGCGAAACGAAAGGGTCTTATTTATGTAACCCGGTATCGCCCCTTGCGCAACGAAAAGTGAGCACAGGAAACTATAGTCGCCCTCCCCCGTCTTAAGTGTTTTACATTATTTCGCCTTTTCCTGCGACGGATGAAAAACATAGGTTCGGTCTAAATACACATCCGCTGTTAGCGGATTGCGAAAGGCGTTGCAAAGCGGGGTAAGTTTATGGCATCATAACATAACGCTGCAATACAGCAAAGCCGTTTGTCAAAAAGGAGCTAATTCGCAGGCATTAGTTGAACTCAAGATGTGTGAACAAAGATTAACATATAACGTTGCTTCTACCTCTAAAATTTAATTCGCGTAGAATCATTCTCCATTCTTAACGTTTTACAGTTCGGGAACTGTGCTGCTGTCTTAGGAATTTCTCCTCGGTAACAAGATCAGCCCAGAATTTCACGTATTTCGCAACGCCGCACGTCCACTTTCCGCCAATCTGGATTCCGACTGGATAACAACTACTGGATGAAAGCGAGGCATACCTCAACTTTGCGCCGGCAGATACAGAAACGCCCGGAGCCGCTCTTGATTACACTACCGCCCTTCCATCTCGTCACGTTTCACCGCTGGTACGCAGACAGAAATAAACGCAGAAATACTGCATACTACATACTCGGTCTCGGTGGCAACCCGCCATTATCGCTATCCTGTCATTTGCGTGCATACACACGGTTGCCAGCGAGTCCCGACCCGAGCAAAGTGCAACATATATCGAGCTGCTTGTTTTCTGCCCCGCGGTTTTCGCGAAAGGAAAAAAAAAGAGTGGAGGATGCGAGCGACGTAAAACGCCGGTGAGACGACGTAACGGAAGCGATAACGCAAGCGAGCGGCGGTCGCATCCTGCAACAGTCGCGCAATCGTCTAGGAAGTCATCGGCTATGCAGACGCGCGCTGCACTCCCCGGCGGTGTGTGCCAATCCGAAATGCGATGTCCGAGGGAAGTAAACTTCAACGACCTGACGAATTTCACTTGTCGCCGTTGCGCAACGGCCGTCGCAGTTCTTTGTTCTTTTGCCGGCGATAATCCGTCCTCCTCGTGTCGACAAGAATTTAACGCGCACGCACGAATACGCTATTCGCAATCACGCATTTGCGGATAAGCGAACCTTTCTTCACGAATTGTATGAAATACAATTGAGTAGGTTTTATTCTTCCTATACAAGAGATTCTTGCTAGAAATATTCGTGGATCATTTTTTCTTCACTGTTAAATATTAAAGAATAAAATTTAAACCAGTATACCTTGAGTTAAATAACATTTTGTTATTTTTAACCATCATGGTTGTAAAAATTTATTATTTTAACACAAAATGATATTTTAACTCCATTGGTTTAGTTAAATTAACATTGTTTTAGTTAAATAAACGACATATTGAGTAGTCAGCAGCAGTGGCAACTTAAAGTAAACTCGGGTAAGATGGCCAACCTATGTTCTTTCAATCTAGCTCGTCATGAAACATCGAATAAACATGTGTTGATCATCTTACCCGAGTTTACTCTATATGAATGGTTAAAAATGATTCAAATTGAATATATTTGACACTATGAATTTAACAGTGTTAATTTTGACAAGACTCAAGGTTTGCAAGGTAAAGAAAGCACATAGGTAATAAAATGTTTACAGCTCTATAGTGACTTTTAAAACAATCTTTTCCCTTTTCAGTTTCTTTCTCTTTTTTTTTTCAACATTGCCGATTTCACGCGTCAGTTCTCGACAAAGCGTAGTGTTAAGCGTAGTGTTGAACGGTTTTTGAACTTCGCACGTTGCGTAAGAACCGCGCACGGATCGCGTGCGAAACGTAAATCCCGAGCGTATCTCATCGGATGTACCTAGGCAGGTCTTGAAATCAGTGAAATCGCCTCGCATCTCGACTTGCATCGGTGCGTTGTTTGGTGGCAGTGTTGATGGATGCATCGAATGCAGCGAAATTATAGAAACCGCGGCGCAACGCACGCGCTTGGCAAAAGCGGACGTTGCGGCGTGAGAGCGAGGATCGTTGACTTTGTAAATATATAAAAAGATGTGCGGTTTACACGTATTATCGTTAAACACGAGGATATGTGGATTATTTGTGGGAAAGCTACAATTTTGACGTGTTACTCGGTTTACTGATGTCATGTTTTATAGAAATTGAAAGCCGCATAATTTTTTCGACTCGTAAAATTCACTTACGAGAAAAAAATACAAGTCAATTGTCGTAATTAAATATAGAAATCATTTTAGTGTATTTATCGCATTAGAATCCAAACTCGACACAATTATAACAATTTTTATTGTAAACTTAAGCTCTCTCTATTATATATCTATCAATGTACAGATGCAATATTATAATAATGTAATAGAAATGTTTTCTTAAGTCACGAAAATAATTGTAAAAGTTATCATTACTCATAAACGTTTAAAAATTCCCTTTAAAAAATCACATTTAAGAATTAAGATGTATAACATAATGGCTTTCGTTAAAAGATACTCACATAGCTCTCAAAGTAAGAAAAAAGCGCAAATCACTCGCCTAATGCGCGATAGGAGGAATCTTTGACGGGTTAATGCTTCAGACGTGCTCTCAGCGATTTAGGTAGGAAGGACATTCCATTCGAGGGTGTCGACTATGAGAGCGGTCGACTCGTAGTCAGCAGGTCTCGAGTTTGATCACGACTCTCATCGCCATTATACCTCGATTTTATCATAGGGTTATCAGAAAAGATAACGGGGAAACCAATCTTTATTGCATGTTTTCCAGGACATTATTTTAAACCTAAAACAAAAAGCCCCCTTAATCCCATGCCCAATGCCCTGGCAGCACTTTGTACGTGGTACCTATATAAACGTAATCATAAAACACACAGCTCTCTCTCTCTCTCTCTCTCTCTCTCTCTTTCTTTCTTTCTCTAAGATGATTGCCAAAATCTAAAGTGATCTCAGGGAGACCTGATATGGCACACTAAGAAGATACCTAATATGTAGCTATCAAAGAAAAGAACGTATGTCATTCGCGATAGAATAAATCTTTAAGCGCGTTAATGCTTCGGACATGTTCTTGACGATTTAGGGATGGCATTCCGTTCGAAACGAGCAACCAAACGGTGCTATCGCCAACAACGCACAATCGACGCCTCGTGGGTTGAGTGCGTAACGGTCCGCACTATTCAATTAACATATTTATCGTGCGTTCTTATAGTCGCGCGTGCGATGCGCCAACTAGGAATCGCAGAGCGGTCGACCAGCCGGCCAGTCGCGCAAAGAATGACCAAGAGGAAACGCAGCAGATGGAGTAACTACGAGCGAGCCCCGTTAATTTCATTATTATATCACTATCGCGTCAAACATCTATCCGACAAGCGCTACCGGAAAACACGATGAAGAAATGTGAATTAAAATATCTTTAGTGGTAATTCTTATAGTGAATTTTATCGATATATAACGGTTGAAGGAGATTATAAACGGAATTTCTGTCTCAAAAGTGGTTAATTTAAATCTTATTTTCGTTTTCTTAAGTTTTGTTATAAAGAACGCTTATATATATATATATAGAGACAATCATAATTCCATTAATAACTTATTATTAATGCACTAAATAATATATCCCATAAAAAACAAAAGTATTAAACGCACTCTTCTTGAAACAGTGTTTCTAAAGCCTCATAATCCAGATTTTTACAGCAATTCAA